ACCAGAAATGTTCATATGTATCTAAAATGCTTTCCTTAAGACCTTGGACTGCCACCACCTATAATAACCACCTCTCCTTTCTTTTGTCAATCCTGAGAGACTGAGAGTGAATTCAGCACTGGGAGCCAGACAGCTCCACCCTTTAGGGGTCAGCCAGCCCATGTGTCTTATCCAGGGGTCCCTGAACTTAATGTACAAGGGGAAGAAGTAAGACTACATGGTTTCCATGTTTTGTGCAGGATACAGTATAAGTACACACTTTCTTCCATAGTTGATATACACGACAACTACATTTTGACCGCATGTAGACATTTGCTCTTTGGGTGGATTGAGAAGCCAGAACACATTCCACAGCACAACGTACATCTTGCTTCAAAAGATGTAACAGGAACTTGGAGTTCATTTAAGGCCCAGGGATGGAGACTCTTCCACGTAGGGTAGTAATTCATCTGAAGACAATAGGAAGATAGACTCACCTTGTCTAGGAAATGAGATTCCCCCTCATACTCATTTCAGTCACAGAAAAGTACCCATGAGTGCCTGGGGGCTGATTCTTTGTTGACTTCTGTCAAGCACATCAAAAGGATTAGTTGTAGACTAAAAATGTGAAATACCACTGTTTCACAAACAGTGTCCTGTTAGGCAGGAGGTGAAACTTCTGGGTAGAATGGAGTGTCTGGGTGGGTGAGCCTGAGATACATGAATGGCCCCAGTTCTGCATTTTCCAGGACAAAAATGTCAGATGCTCAAATCCTAGTCTCAAGAGTAAATATCTTCTCAGGGACATTTTGAAAAACATCCAGTTAAGATGAAGCACCACAAGATTGTGCTTTTAATACTGACAAGCTGATTCTAAAATTCACATGATGAGAAAAGTACTGTAAGAGTCATTCTATGCATGTGTTGATATGATGCTGTGGGTTAATGTTCACTCTCTAGTGAAATATGAAGCTGAAAACCTTTTTGAAGTTCACCATACATGTGAATAGCACGTTTTGTAAGTTGAATGTTAAAGATTTTTGGTGGTTTTTCTATGGCTCTCTGGTGTTGTCTTACACATTTCTACTTCTTATGTCTTCTCAGTACCAGTTCTTCTTTGCTTCTTTTTATAGCCTTTGTTTGAAAGAAGATTGTGTCTGCTGTAAGCATTGCTACCCTGATTTCTTTTTGTTTTTATTTTCAGAACATTTATTTTTCTATCTTTTTATTCCCAGTCTGTGTGTGTGTTTCCACCTGAAGTGAGTCTTTAGCAGGGAGCATGTCTTGTTTCCTTGTTTATTCTGCTCCCCTATACTTTTTGAATGGAGCAAGTTCTCTGTTAGCCTTGAAACTAATGGTTCAGAAACACATACTTATTTCCATTTTATTTCAAAATTTTAGCTGTTTTTTTTCTATCTGAAGAAGACCCTTTAGCATTTCTTGTAATACTGGTTTGGAAATGATAAACTCCTTTGGCTTCCTCTGGGCTGGGAAGCTCTCTATCTGTTCTTGGATTCTAAATGTCAGCTTTTTCTGCACAGAGTTATCTTGGGTGTAGGTTCTTGCTTTTCATCACTTTGTATATTTTCTCCCAATCATGGCAGGCTTTCAAAGATGCTGCTGGCACATTAATGGGAGGAATTCACTGCAGGTTGGTGAACAGCAAGAAGAGGGCCAGAAACCACAGCAGAGGAACAGCTGGGAAGGGGCAGACCCCATGGGGCAGAACTCACTTTAGCAGGGCTCTGGTGTCTACTGACTCCACCCCTTGAGTGTGTCACTGGTGGAGGTGATCAAGTGGCACTCTGGTGTGCTCTGAAGCTGTCCACTGGGTATGTTGGCTCCCAGGCCTCCCGGGATGTGCAGGCCAAGGTCAGCTACCATCTGTGCCCATCCTGGGGACACCTAGCATGAGCTGCCAAGAAATCTGCTAATGACTGCCACTTGTGCTGGGTTTGTAGGTGGCAGGGAGAGGCCACACTGTCCCCTGAGGCTGGCTGCCACTGCTGCTGGCCTAGGGACACTTAGCTGAGGTACAGGGTACACTGAGCCCAGACACTGCTGGTTTGGGTTTTGCAGACTCTGAGAGACTTTGGTGTGAGCCAAGACAGACTGTTTGTATGACAACCCCCTGGAAGTGGCTAGAGTGTGCTGACAAGTTGGGTGGGCAGAGCCTCAGGGAATCATCAGGGTAGGGTGAACAGTGTGAGCCATGTTTATAGAGACTCAGATTTGGTACCTTCCTGTTCCTGTGGGGAGCACTCAGCATGTGTGTCTGGGACAAGCTGCCCCTCCAGTCTGGGCCCCAAAGTCAGACAATTCACTTCCTCCCCATATGTCCCTGGTGCCTTTCACGGTGCTGCCCCAGTGCTGGAGCTCCGAGGGACTGAATTCCAGTAAGTCCACGCACAGGCTCATTAATAGGACACCTGTGACTCCTGTTGCCTCTGCCTCACTCGGCTGTAATCCCTGCTGGTTTCTACAACCAGAGGTGATGGGGACATCACCTCCCATCACTGGACCCCTGGACTGGGGAACTTGGTGTGGGGCTGGGAGCACTTACTCCATAGGGGGATCTCTGCAGTCAAGATATAACCCCCAAATTTGAACTGTCTACATGGGTGTGGCACCAGCTCATTGCATGCCTTCAGCCCTCTACCTGTCTCAGTGTGGCTCATTTTAAACCTTTAGTTTTGGGACTTCCATTCAGCTACCTTTCAGGTGACTGTTTCATTTGGCGGTGGTTGTCAGAGAGTGTGAGTTCCACATTTACCTATGCCACCATCTTGTGCAGAAGTCTCAATGTCTAATGATAAGTAAATCATTTTGAATGTTTGCCAATTTTTTATTTAAATAGTAAGTAAGTTTTATTTTTAAATAGTTCTTTTTAAAATTTTCCAGACCAATTTTGAATTGACAGTGTTATATATTATTACATCAACCAATTTGGACATTGTATGTGCATTTCTAATTAGGGTAGTTACCCCAACTGTTAGTATTGGAATTTATGATTTTGAACCACTTTTGCTTCCTTCTCTTCTCTGTGTAAGGTTATTACACATTAATTTAACTCTTGGCATCTAATTCCCAAAGCTCTGTGTGTGTCTATATCCTTTCTTTCTCACTCACACACACTCCAAATATTTTAACCTGTCTTAATTGTAAATATATATGTGAATGTATGTACACATGTACTTTTGCAAAGTTTATTTTTTTGTCATTATTTTTCTCATGTTTGCACCTCACTGACTCCACTTTTGTCCATTACTCTTTTGGTTTAAGCTCCTATTTTTGTTTGCTTTCCATGAGCATGTAAATAATAAAGTACTGGAGACCTGGTGTATCTGAGAATGTCTTATTTTCATTAAGATAGTTGAAAACATTTCCTTTCTTCAAATAAAGGATATAATTCCAATACAAGGTGTGGGACTTCTTTGTTAGTTTCATTCTATACGCCAAGCCCTTGGAAGCCAGAGCCTGAGGTGGTGGATTTGACACCAGAGACAAGAGTTCAAGCAGGTCAAACCTGACTCCCTCTTGTCATACTAATGGGTCATTGCCCTCTGACCCTTTCACCTGGCTTTTGATAAAAATTTGGGTCACTAGAGAATTCTACATTTACAATCAAATCCATGAATGTATTTCCCCCATCTTTAGTATTGTGTTTGTTTGAAAGTCAGCTCCCATCAATATCACCCTCTTGCCTTGAATAAAAAGACACACGTTTCATCCTACATCACACACATGCTCCCTGGCCCTGCAGGGGCCTCTCTGCCCCTCTGTGAAATGCCCAAACCTTGGTCTCTAGGGTGAACACAGGCATCAGTCTCCCTGCTCCTTCTGAAACTCCCAGGATCCACTGGATGCCCCCTTTCTAGTCTCCATGCATCTTAGTTTTTTATTCCAGTTTCTCTGAATCACATACTGCAAAGTGGACTTGGTGTTGGGGGCCACTCAGTCAGTGTCTGTCCTCCATGTGGGTCTGTTCCATTTGGGGAACTTTCATTTCCCTTTTCCCACACCTCTCTGTGTATACATATTTTAGAGCTATCATGACTACCTGTGCTTGGTATTCAGTGAAGACATGGTCTGAAGTGGATGAAACAACCCTGCCCTTGACACTAGACACCTTGATCGTCTCATGTCCCAGCCCACTCATGTCTCCATCTGGTCTGTAAATGGAAGTCTCCATCTCATGAACCAGCACCACTGATCCACAGCCACTGTGGGGACTGGGCTTTGTGACAATATCATCTGGATGAGGAAACTGAGGCACAGACAGGACATTACCACTCAAGGATACATGAACATTGGATGATGAGCATTTAAACAAATATTTGTTTTAAGTAAAAATCAGGACTGTAACCCAAATCAATATCCCCTGAATCTTGAAGGCAGGACCACAGCATGAGGAAGAGGCTTAAACAAGGAAACAAGGGGCATTGAGGGGGCAGGTGTCACTCAGAGGCTTGTCCCTAGGAAGGTGGGGTAGATGCTGTTGCTAGGAAATCATGAGAAGTCAGTGAGGGTGGTTAGGATAGAAAGAAAGTCACACTCTGGGGCCAGGGGAAGGGGTGTATGTCCTTCTCTCACTTCCCTGTGTCTGTCCTTTGTGCTCATTGTCACAGTGGCACTTGCCTGAACTACACAGTGAGGAGGAGACCATGTCCCTGCTGATCTGAGCTCTGCAGGCACAGGGAACCCTGTCTTCCTGAAGCAACTCCAGGGCCTGGGTAACCACTGTCCATGGGGAGGACCCACAGGGAGGGGCTGATGGCCGTGTGAGGTGGGAAAGGCAGCCTATGGGGGAGATTCTCACCTGGAAGGACATGCCCTGGGTCACCTCACCGCAAGGGGCATCTCAGGAGGTTCCAGGTTTAAATCTTCCTGCATCAAGAGAATGAGGGCCAGACTCCTGGGGAAACACTGTTCTGCTTCCTCAGGGGTACTGACGTAACAACCCTGTGATGGGGACGGACAACCTCCCACTGGCCACACCCTGTGAGTCTGTCTACACTGAACACACCGTGGACTCTTCCTTCTGCAGAGCTGGATTCAGAGAGGAGACACCATGCCCCCCAGCCTCACAGCCCTGCTCTGCCTTGGTGAGATGTGAGGGGGGAGGGGAAGCCCTGCTCTGACAGGACCCCAGGACTCAGGAGGCTCCTGGGGAGGAGGGTTCTTCTGAGGATTCAGGGCAAATCTCTCACAGGGACTCTCTTGCAGGGCTGAGTGTGGGCCTGAGGATGCCAGTGAAGGCAGGTGAGTCTGTTCTCAGGGGTCCCAGGATTCTCTCCACATAAAGGACAAGGGGCTTTCCCATCAGGCAGCTGGGGGTGGAGAACATAAGTTCTCAGTTAATGGATGGGGGACGTCTGGGAAGGTTCTGGGGCTGAGATTTGGGCACTGGGGTGAAAATGTCTTGTGACCCAACTTCTGATTCCTTCCAGGGACCCTCCCCAAACCCACCCTCTGGGCTGAGCCAGGCCATATAACCTTGTTGCGGAGCTCTGTGACTCTCTGGTGTCAGGGGACCCCACAGGTCCAGGAGTTCCGTATGGATAAAGAGGGAAGCCCACAGCCCTGGGGCAGACAGAAGTCACTGCATCCAGGGGAAAAGGTCAATTTCTCCATTGCACACATGACAGAGTATGATGCAGGGAAATATCGCTGCTCCTATCTCACCCACACAGGCTGGTCAGAGCATAGTGACCCCCTGGAGCTGGTGGTGACAGGTGAGAGGAAACTCAGGGGTCCCAGCCTCAGGCTTTGTCCTCAGGAAAGGGGATGGTCTCAGGGGGTCTCCCCCTCACAGCCCAGCCCTGGAAAATGTCAGCCCCATTTAATACGCTGTCACACTGCCTTCTCCTCTTCTAGGATCCATACGCAAACCCAGCCTCTCAGCCTTGTCCAGCCCTGTTGTGACCTCAGGAGGGACCATAACCCTCCAGTGTGGCTCACGGCAGAAATTTGACAGGTTCATTCTTACTAAGGAAGGAGAAAACAGGCTCTCCTGGACCCTAGACTCACAGCGAGAACCAGGTGGGCAGGTCCAGGCCGTGTTCTCTGTGGGTCCAGTGACCCCCAGTGACAGGTGGACTTTCAGATGCTATGGATATAACAGGAAGAGACCCCAGGTGTGGTCACAGCCCAGTGACCGCCTGGAGCTCCTGGTCCCAGGTAAAAATATTCTCTATTTTGCCTCTTGCGTGGATTTAGTCTGTAGACCGGTTACTGAATTCATTGCAGGGAGAGGAGCCCCATGTGAGAGGTGGGGTGAGGGGAGCACAGGGGCTCCTGGGTCAGAAACACAGAGAGAGAGAGACAGTGGGACCTGGGGACCAGGCCAGGAGGAGGGTTCATGGGAGGAGCAGCCCTGTCACTCCTGTCTGTTCCCTGCAGGTGTCTCAGGGAAGCCCTCCCTCCTGACCCAGCAGGGACCCATTGTGGGCTCTGGACAGAGCCTGACCCTCCAGTGTCACTCTGACATCGGCTATGACAGATTCACTCTGTCCAAGGAGGAGGGACAGGACCTTCCCCAGATCACTGTCCTGCAGCCCCAGGCTGGGCTCTCTCAGGCCGAATTCCACCTGGGCATTGTGAGCAGTACCCACGGGGGCCAGTACAGGTGCTACGGTGGATACAACCTCTCTTCTGAGTGGTCAGCCCCCAGCAACCCCCTGGACATCCTGGTGGCAGGTGAGCAATCAGTATGGGTTTAATCAAGGACCAGAGTCTGGCTCAGGCCCTGCTAGGATCTCAGGTGGTGAGGGCCAGGACAAGGGGTGTGGGGTCTCCAAGGAGAGAGACAGATAAAGAGATAGAGATAGAGATGATAGAGGGAGGGAGGGAGGGGGGAGAATAGGTGGTGGGATGGGAGGGGGAGATGCAGAGAAAACAGAGACAGACAGCAAGGATGGTCCCAGAAAGGGGCCTGGTGACTCTCACGTCGGAAAAAGATGCAGCAGCCCCTCACCAACTCCCCTCGCTTTAGGACAGCTCCCTGACAGACCCTCCCTCTCGGTGCAGCCAGGCCCCTCAGTGGCCTCAGGAGAGAAGGTGACCCTGCTGTGTCAGTCACGGAGCCCGAGGGACATTTTCTTTCTGACCAAGGAGGGGACAGCTGATCCCCCTCTGACACTGAGATCACAGTCCCGAGCTCAGCAGCACCAGGCAGAGTTCTCCTTGGGTCCTGTGACCTCAGCCCACGGGGGGAACTATAGGTGCTACAGTGCAAACCACAGCAACCCCTACCTGTTGTCACAGCCCAGTGAGC